GAGTTTGTTTGGTGTCTGGGAGGTGTGTGCATGTGTGTGTGTGTGTGTGGTGTGTAGTGCAAGTATGTTTGTGAGAGTTTGGTGTTTAGTGTGTATGAGAGAATCTGTAGAGTTTGTGTGTAAAACAGAGTTAGTGTGTGCGCGCGTAGTTGTCTGTGTGTGTGAGAGGGAGTTAATGCATGTGGGAGAAAGTATAATGTGTGTGTGTGTTTAGTGTGTGTCTGTGTGAGAAAGTGTGAGTTTAGTTGGTGTGTGTTTTTGTGTGTGAGTGAGAGAGAACTAGTGTATATGGGAGAAAGTGTGTGGGAGAAAGTATTGTGTGTGTGTGTGTGTGTGTGTGTGTGTGTGTGTGTGTGTGTGTGTGTGTGTGTGTGTGTGTGTGAAGCTCCACCTGAGGATGAGTCTAGTGTCCTGCCAGTGTTGCCATGGCGATGTGTCCTCTGTATCACATGACCTTTTCTCTGACCACAGCGCTGACACACCTCATGTATAATTCACAGCTTCAAAGGCATCTCAGTCCAAACTGTGTGTGTGTGTGTGCACGCATATGAGTAAGTGTGCATGAGTGTGTGTGTGTGTGTGTGAACATAGTAGTAAGTGTATGCATTCATAAGTGTATGTGTGCATGAGTAAGTGTGTGTGTGCATGAGTAAGTGTGTGTGTGTGTATTAGTATGGTGATGCGTGTACATAAGTGAGTATGAGCGTGTGTGTTTGTTGTTTGTGTGTACATGAGTGTGTGTATGTCAGTACATGATTAAGTGTGTCTATGAATATGCATGAGTGTGTGAATACAAGTAAATGTATGCATTCACGAGTGTGTGTGTGTGCGCATGAGTACGTGTGTTTGTTGTTTGAGTGTCGGTGTACATGAGTGTGTGTATAAATGTGTGTATGACTGTGTGTGTGTGTTTGTGTGCATATGATTAAGTGTTTGACTTCATGAGTGTATATGTGCAAGAGTGTGTGTGTGCATGTCTGTGCATGATTAAGTGTGTGTATGATAGTGTGTATGTCTGTGCACGAGTGTGTGTGTTTACCGTTTACTTGCTGGCCGTTAGGTACAGTGTGTGCTGATGAGTGAAGCACAGTTCCTGACAGAGATCAGCTGATGACTACACTACACTACACATGCTGAATCACAACACACACTGCACACACCGACACTGTTCTGTCTCCACTGACGGACAGTTCACACTTTAAACAGAAGATCAGCTCATTTCCAGCATTTCTGCATGAAGCTCTTGGTGTCACACATCTGCAGTGCAGTCATTAGATCCAGCCTGTAGACGTGTCGTGTGTATCTGGACTATAATGCTGGAACAGTCTGAACACAGCGCATGTCTTTGTGTAATGAGCTGTTCATTTCATCAGACTATATGCCATCAAAACCTGATTACAGTTTCAGTATAAACTAAACACACACACACACACACACACACACACACACTCTGCTGTCCATGTGCAGCACGTGTCCTCTGTCTCTGTGTGTCCAGCTGCTTTAATATCAGAGTCCTGCTGTCAAATCTGTGAAGTTATTCTAAAACTGCAGAACGTGTGTGTAAATCTGCTCTGAGCTCTTTTCATTAGTGGCTCCTGAAGCCTGCAGCGCTGCTACACACACACACACACACACAAACACACACACACACTTCAGTGCATGACTCAAAATGTAGACTAATTACAAAGTCAAGGGACACCAAGTTACAGCGTACACACACACAGATGAACAGTCTTGTGTTGAACCATTGAACATCAGTGTAATGTAACTCTGAGCTCCATCTGAATCAGGCGTTCTCTACTGGTTTAGCCATGGGAGCCACATGTTTACATGGTCATCAAGCCCAACACAAATTTTAAGGAACTATAATGCAATTTTAGGAATTATAATTCATTTGCATTTATTTGTTAACATACACAAGTGGTGACAGATACATCATAAGAAAATCCTCAAGACTGGCAAATAAACTATATTTTATTGCTGTCATTTAACAAAATGTATAAAATATAGAAATATGACAAAATAAAAATGTCAAATACTGTAAATCGTGGTTAGAGTAAGGAAAGGTTCAGTTACCATGAACTAAGCTGAGCTGTTAATAAAACATGTCGTCTGGTTTCTAAATGTCGTTTAATTTAGAAGGCTCTCTTGTGAGAGCACCTCAATACTTACGACACACTTTGTCTTTTTTGTCGTTAATATATGTAAATCCATACTTTACATATTCAGGGTCGTACTTGCGCTTGACATATTTGTTGCTATGATTAAATAAAATTTCACATGTCAAACGGTACGGTTATTGTGCACAAATTTCAAAATAAAAGTCCGGTATCAGCAAAATAAGTTACAAAATAAACTTTTGTTGTTTTTTCGATCACACACTCCGTGACCCACGCGACCCACCAGTTGAGAAACACTGATCTAAATATTACAGCGACCTCATCTGCTCATGAGTAACGGTAGATCAGAGTAGATCACACTCGCTGTTTCTAATCCACCTATTCTATATGCGTTTTGGATTATTGCATTCAAATATGCTTGGTGAAAAAGTCTAGATGTGCGTACATTTATACAATGCACATTAAACACACACAACTGAGGAGGAGACATGTTTTACTGGATGAGAAATAAACTCTGCTGTAAACAGGCGAAGTGAAGTCTGCGCCTGCACTTCATCAGTGTGTGTGTGAGGTGCTTTAGTTTTTGGCAGATGAGCTGACAGATATAAATGTGTGTGTGTGTGTGTGTGTGCGTCATTAATGTTTGTTTGCATGTGTTTCTGCAGTGTTCCTCTAGTGCTAATCCATTGTTCCTTCAGTGTTACTTCAGTGTTCATCAAGTGTTCCTGCAGTGCTCCTCCAGTGTCCCTCCAGTATTCCTCCAGTGTTTTTGCAGGTGCTCCTTCAGTGTCTCTCCAGTGTCTTTCTAGTGTGTCTCTAGTGTCCCTCCAGTGTTCATGAAGTGTTTCTTCAGTGTCCCTCCAGTGTTCCTCTAGTGTTCCTGCAGTGTTCCTCCAGTGTTTCTGCAGTGTTCCTCCCGTGTTCATGAAGTGTTTCTCCAGTGTCCCTCCAGTGTTTCAGCAGGGTTCCTCCAGTGTTCTCTGCAGTGTTCCTCCAGTGTTCATGAAGTGTTTCTCCAGTGTCCCTCTAGTGTTTCTGCAGTGTTCCTCTAGTGTTCCTCCAATGTTTCAGCAGGGTTCCTCCAGTGTTCATGAAGTGTTTCTTCAGCGTCCCTCTTGTGTTTCTGCAGTGTCCCTCCAGTGTATCTCTGCAGTGTTCCTCCAGTGTTCATGAAGTGTTTCTCCAGCGTCCCTCTAGTGTTTCTGCAGTGTTCCTCTAGTGTTCCTCCAATGTTTCAGCAGGGTTCCTCCAGTGTTCATGAAGTGTTTCTTCAGCGTCCCTCTTGTGTTTCTGCAGTGTCCCTCCAGTGTATCTCTGCAGTGTTCCTCCAGTGTTCATCCAGTGTTTCTGCAGTGTTCCTCCCGTGTTCATGAAGTGTTTCTCCAGTTTCCCTCCAGTGTTTCAGCAGGGTTCCTCCAGTGTTCATGAAGTGTTTCTTCAGCGTCCCTCTTGTGTTTCTGCAGTGTCCCTCCAGTGTATCTCTGCAGTGTTCCTCCAGTGTTCATGAAGTGTTTCTCCAGCGTCCCTCTAGTGTTTCTGCAGTGTTCCTCTAGTGTTCCTCCAGTGTTTCAGCAGGGTTCCTCCAGTGTTCATGAAGTGTTTCTTCAGCGTCCCTCTTGTGTTTCTGCAGTGTCCCTCCAGTGTATCTCTGCAGTGTTCCTCCAGTGTTCATGAAGTGTTTCTCCAGCGTCCCTCTAGTGTTTCTGCAGTGTTCCTCTAGTGTTCCTCCAGTGTTTCAGCAGGGTTCCTCCAGTGTTCATGAAGTGTTTCTTCAGCGTCCCTCTTGTGTTTCTGCAGTGTCCCTCCAGTGTATCTCTGCAGTGTTCCTCCAGTGTTCATGAAGTGTTTCTCCAGCGTCCCTCTAGTGTTTCTGCAGTGTTCCTCTAGTGTTCCTCCAATGTTTCAGCAGGGTTCCTCCAGTGATCATGAAGTGTTTCTTCAGTGTCCCTTTAGTGTTTCTGCAGTGTTCCTCCAGTATATCTCTTCAGTGTTCCTCCAGTGTTCATGAAGTGTTTCTCCAGCTTCCCTCTAGTGTTTCTGCAGTGTTCCTCTAGTGTTCCTCTAGTGTTTCTGCAGTATTACTCCAGTGTTCATGAAGTGTTTCTCCAGTGTTCCTCTAGTGTTTCTGCAGTATTACTCCAGTGTTCATGAAGTGTTTCTCCAGTGTCCCTCTAGTGTTTCTGCAGTGTTCCTCTAGTGTTCATGAAATGTTTCTCCAGCGTCCCTCTAGTGTTTCTGCAGTGTTCCTCTAGTGTTTCTGCAGTATTACTCCAGTGTTCATGAAGTGTTTCTCCAGTGTCCCTCTAGTGTTTCTGCAGTGTTCCTCCAGTGCATCTCTTCAGTGTTCCTCCAGTGTCTCTCCAGTGCATCTCTTCAGTGTTCCTCCAGTGTTCCTCCAGTGTATCTCTTCAGTGTTCCTCCAGTGTTCCTCCAGTGCATCTCTTCAGTGTTCCTCCAGTGTTTCTCCAGTGTGTCTCTTCAGTGTTTCTCCAGTGTTCCTCCAGTGTTCCTCCAGTGTTCCTCCAGTGTATCTCTTCAGTGTTCCTCCAGTGTTCTCTTCAGTGTTCCTCCAGTGTTCCTCCAGTGTTCCTCCAGTGTTCCTCCAGTGTATCTCTTCAGTGTTCCTCCAGTGTTCCTCCAGTGTATCTCTTCAGTGTTCCTCCAGTGTTCCTCCAGTGTATCTCTTCAGTGTTCCTCCAGTGTCCCTCTAGTGCTTCTGCAGTGTTCCTCTAGTGTTCCTCCAGTGTTCATGAAATGTCTCTCCAGTGTTCCTCCAGTATATCTCTTCAGTGTCCCTCCAGTGTTCCTTCAGTGTCTCTTCAGTGTCCCTCCAGTGTTCCTTCAGTGTCTCTTCAGTGTCTCTCCAGTGTTCCTCCTTTGTTATGTGTGTCTGGTGGGTTGCTGAGGCCGCGGGGTGTTCTTGTTGTGCCGGCAGCAGCAGAAGCGGGTCAGATCGGAGCGGAAGGAGGGTGTGTACAGGCCATAGATCACAGGGTCGCAGCAGGTGTTCAGGTTCCCGAACACAAACAGCAGGTGGTGGACGTACTCGGGCGTCACCGTCAGCATCTCCGGCTGGAACCAGTACCAGATGCCCAGCAGGTAATACGGTGTCCAGCACACCACGAAGGACAGCACAATGATGAGGGTCATCTTCAGCGTCTTCATCCTGGCCTTCGGGATCATGTCTGTTCCGCTGCGCCTCAGAGAATCACCTGCTGGACACGGATAACACAGTGAGTACGTTTACATGGACACCAATACTCAGTTTTGACTAGGATCAGGACAACACTCAACACTATTTTATTTCATAATAATTTAGTTATCAAACACCTTTAAAGCAAGCAGAAGGACATGAACACAAATAATGAGTATATGGTAGGAGCAGTGTTGTGGTGAATTCAGTGATATTCCTCAACACACACTCCTGAGCTTCTGCCCTTGCGTGTGCCCTTGTCAGGAGTCAAGTGACCATAGTGTCGATTAGAACAAAGCCCTCGGGGTTCAGAAGCTGGAAATAGCAGCAGTGCTGATCTCAGATATTATACAGTAATCCAGCATAGCGCTCTGCTGTTACCCACAATGCCCCTCTCAAGTTCAGCGCTTCAGTCACATGACTACAGTGGAGTCCTAAAGTTAAAGATACTCCTGTTAACAGCTAAGAATGTTCCAGATGTAAATATTCCCCACTGTGTACCTGTACTGTAGTTTATTGAATATGTTAATGACTGAATTATGCATATCAGTGGTGAATACAACATCACATTACTCCATACAACACAAAACATGGTGTTAAGTTGCACAAAAACAACAACAAACGTGTATTTACCTGTTATGCATGTGTCTTGTAGTGTGTTTCTGTGTGTGTTTGTGTTTACCTGATGTGTGTATGAACTTGTAGTGTCTCTGTATGCTTATGGTGGGGGTATTTATTTGTATAGAGTGTGTTTACCTGTAGTGTTTACATGTAGTGTGTTTACATCTGCTGTGTATGTGTACTTGTAATGTGTTTGTACCTGGAGTGTGTTTATCTGTAGTGTGTGTGTGTGTGTGTGTGTGTGTGCTTGTAGTGTCTATTTAGCTGTAGTGTGTGTAACCTTGTAATTTGTGTGTGCATGTGGGTGCTTGTACTTATGTGCAGTGTGTCTACCTGTACTTTGTGTGAATTTGTAGTGTGTATGTGTGTACATGTAGTGTGTATTTACCTGTAGTGTGTGTATTAGTGTGTGTGTGTCTGTGTGTACATGTAGTGTCTATTTACCTGTACTGTGTGTATTAGTGTGTGTGTCTGTGTGTTTCTTGTAGTGTGAGTACTTGTAGTGTGTTTTACCCATAGTGTGTTTACTTAGTGTAGGTGTACTTGTTTTGTGTGTGTGTGTGTGTGTGTGTGAACGTGTAGTGTGTGTGTGTGATTGTAGTGTGTATTTAACTTTACTGTGTGTAAACATGTAGTGTGTCTTAGTGCATGTAGTGTGTGTGTATGTGTGTATTTCTAGTAATGTGTGTATTTACCCATAGTGTGTGTTTACTTAGTATATGTGTACTTGTTTTGTGTGTGTGAACATGGTGTGTGTCAGCTATGTTATTGTCAGCTGTTATCGTCAACTTGGTTATCGTCAGCTCTGTTATTGTCACTCGGTTGTTACCGAGCAACTACATTGCATGCAGTGTTTGTGTACTTGTGGTGTGTGTATTTATTCATGCCGTGTGTGCACCAGATGCTGTGTGTGTACCTTTGTTGCTGTTGTGTAGTTGTCTGTTGATCTCGATGAGGATGCAGGTGTAGCAGCAGCTCATGACCAGCAGGGGGATCACGTACAGCGTCACAAAGTGGAACATGTTGTACGCCGTCTCGTGCCATCGCTCGCTGAAACTGCCGTGCGTCACACACTGCGTGAAGTCCACACTCTTCGCTTTCACCGTATGGAAGATGAACAGCTGCACCATCAACAAAACCATCATATATGAGCGAGAAGAGGAGGTAAATATTACTGCAGTAAAATAATTCTGTTGTGAAGATGTGTGTGTGACTTAATCCAGAATTCCACCAATTTCCATTAATTTTCCTTAAACTGTAATGAAATAACCAATGCATAATTTAATCTGTTATTAATGTAGATTGATGAAGAAACCTTAAATGCAATAGTGGACATAATTGTTGTTGGGCTAATTGTTGTTTACATTTTTTAATAAAAATTTTAAACCATAACACAGTTGACGATATCCGAGTTGATAATGAGAGCTGACAATAACATCGTTTAAGATAAAGGATTTGACGATAACCAAGTTGACGATAACAAAGTTGAAGATAACTGAATTGATGATTACTGAGTTGGCAATAACAGAGTTTAAGAACTGACGATAAGTTGACGATAACTGAGTAGACAGTAACCAAGTTGACAATAACCAAGTTGACAGTAACGAAGTTGACGATAACCAAGTTGATGATAACAGCTGAGGATAACAGAGCTGACGATAACAAAGCTGACGATAACAGAGTTGACGATAACATCTGACGATAACCGAGTTGACGATAACAGCTGACAATAACGGAGCTAACGATAACATCTGACGATAACCGAGTTGACGATAACAGGTGACAATAACAGAGCTGACGATAACATCTGACGATAACCGAGTTGACGATAACAGCTGACAATAACGGAGCTAACGATAACATCTGACGATAACCGAGTTGACGATAACAGGTGACAATAACAGAGCTGACGATAACATCTGACGATAACCGAGTTGACGATAACAGCTGACAATAACGGAGCTAACGATAACATCTGACGACAACCGAGTTGACGATAACAGTTGACAATAACAGAGCTGACGATAACCAAGTTGACGATAACAGCTGACGATAACATAGCTGACA